TTATACACATGGCTCAAGAGCATCTAACTGATTGCTTCGTGTTTCAACGTACATCATAGAGTTATGATTCACCGCCAATTCAAGGGTAATTTCGAAAAATACTTTTCTATATAAAACGCCTCTCAGAAAATATGCACTAGTATAGTGTCTGTACCTCTATGCTATCAATAGATTAAATTACAGAGAATCTACTGCGCCTTGATATAAAATGGTCAGCCTATGTGTCTGTTGATTGTCTGCCTGCCAGCCTCGCCTGTTGTTTTTCTGCGGGTTTGTCCGTTGGTCTCTCTGTCTATCAGCCTGTCGGTCTTTCTGTCTGTATATTTGGAAATGCCCCTTCAATCCATGTTGCTTCAAGTGACCTATTTTTTTTTAGACACCTTCACAACAACAACCTCAAAAGACTTACCAATACTGCCTTTACTGGCTTGCGGTCACTCACAACACTGTAAGTCGATTATTTATTTGGGTTTGTTACTGTGTTAATTGAGGTACCCGTTGACCCTAGTTACAGGATATTATACTCCCTTTGGTACTACTGCATGTTAAAGAAGGTGTTGAATAAAGTAAAGTTGACTTTTCTCCATTTTCTCCTCTTCCTCAATCACCTTAATCAAATCACATATTAACGTAACTTTATTATAGCCACACAGTACAATGAGCAGCTTTGGTACTAGCCATTCTTAGTGTTTTTGAGCTGTTGGACGAGGAGAGGAAAGATATTTAAGGCTATAGAGTTTTTGACTGTAGTGCTTATTGAAAACCTGTTACTATATCTCAAATGAAAATCTTTATTTTGACTTATTTTTGAAATATAGGCGTCTACATGCCAATGGAATTGTTGAAAGTGAAATAAAGACGGATACTTTTGACGACCTAGTCAAGCTAAAGATATTGTAAGTATTGTAGCAGGTTGGCTGCTGGTCTCGGAATTATTCTTCACGCTATGTTACACAACAATATCCAGTCACCTAGTGAAAACCGTTGTTTTCTTGTCTGTTTCCGTGACTCATCTCTCTCTCTCTCTCTCTCTCTCTCTCTCTCTCTCTCTCGTAGTCTTAAATGTACAGCCAGACCTTTCAGGCGCTTTCTTTGAATTATCCCGTAGTATCTAAAGTGTTTAAAACAAATGAATATGGTCAACTTTGTCCGAGCTTTGAAGGAAAGTTAACTGGGAGAAAATTGAAATGCTGCCATATAGAAAGAGTATACTGCAAAGAAACATTTAAGAGAAGGAACTTGGGGTCAAGCGAAAAAAAAAAAATATAATAAGAAAAAAACAAGGACCTAATTGGCCTCAAAACAAATTGTTGGTGAAGTTCTGGTCCAGGGCTCGAACACAAATTAACGAAATTGCTGCTGAAGTGAGGCTTATCATGTCCCCAGGTTTTTAACTAGCAAAGAAAGACTCGCTATCCAGATTTACGAAAGGCTTTTTTTTTCTTTATTTAGAACCTTGGACAGTTTTATTCTCTGCTGTTATGCTAAGAAGGCTATAGCAGATCTAATGTGTGACTCACCCCAAAATGAGTTCTCCAGTTGTGAAGACATGATGAAGAACCCAGCGGTACGGGTCTGCCTCTGGATTCTGGGCATCATAGCATTAGTTGGCAATCTATCAGTCATCTTCTGGAGGCTGGTGCACACCGAAGACAGCAAGGTGCAGTCATTTCTGTTGAAGAATCTCGCCTTTTCTGATTTCCTGATGGGCGCCTACCTCATCATTATTGCTGTACAGGACACGCGTTGGCAGGGTGAATACTTCATGCATGACGTGCAGTGGAGAGCGGGTACAATATGTCAGGTCACAGGTGCTTTGTCTATGCTATCTAGCGAGGTAAGTTGGCATAGTTTGCACCTTAATTTTATCGTCGTCTAGTGTTTCTTCTCTGAGGTTAAAAACGAAAATGTCTTGCTTACAACATTCTAAACACATGTAAAGACATGAATGCCAAGGCATACCAGCCCATTCTTCAGGCTCAGTTGAGCTCTCTGACTGTGTATCGCTAGACTCGTCACAAGTCTTCTTCTCAGCTCAGTTGGTAGAACACTGCACCGGTCAGTTCGCAGAGGTCATACCGCTCACGCCTAATTTCAGGCTTTATGTTCACAGCTGCTTAAGTTGTGCATATAACTGCTATGATCATTCATGTCTTCAGTTTTTAGATCTTTTTTCGCTTTTCAAATATTTAATCTTTCATAGCATTATGCACTTGCATTCTTAACACTGTTAGGACGTCAGCCGACGGATTATGTATGATGACACAACTGGGAGAAGTTTTAGTAGATGGAATGGTATCCATCCCATAGTATTCTCCATTTAATATATCAAACACGAAAGACCGTGTTTGACCACACTTCCAAACGCCGAGAAGAGGGTTGAAAATACCACACGCAGCGGAGTACTTTTGACGAACTTCGAGGTGTTTAGAAATGTGGTCAAATACTGTCTTGAGTGTTTGACTGATATATTTTCTCAATCGAAACTAAAACTAAGGAGAAAACGGAGATTTAAAGTGGTAAAAATCTATGCTAATTTAGATCAGATATCCAAACACCGTCACGGTCATGATTTCCTTTGTTTAAACTTGATGAATTATTAATGAGTTTGAGAAGGTATTTACAATGTCAACCGAACAGTCCGGCGCTTCGAGAGCTGTCTTCTAACCTAAGATATCCGGGTATACCTGCTCACTCCACAGGTTCATTTGAACTCTCCGACAGTGCATCACTAGACTTGTCACAAGTCGACCTCTTCACGGAGCAGAATTTCGCCAACCACTATTCAACGCGCCTCCAATACAAACGTGATACATACAACTCAGTAGTGAGGCTAGACTGCAGTCAACGCCCTGTCAACCGGAACACCTTAGCGGCAAGGGGAAGGACCCCAGCCTTAATAACGATTGTTTGTTCTAATCGTTTGTCCGTAAATAATTTTCTTTATTGTTTACCTTAAAAGGTCTCCGTAATGCTTCTATCCATCATCACCGCCGATAGGCTCATCTGTATCGTGTTCAGTTTTCGTGTGCAGCCCTTGTCCCTTAAAGCCTGTCACGTCNATCTTTTTTCGCTTTTCAAATATTTGATCTTTCATATCATTATGCACTTGCATTCTTAACACTGTTAGGAAGTCAGCCGACGGATTTTGTATAATGATACAACTGGTAGAAGTTTTAGTAGATAGGATGGTATCCATCCCAGAGTATTCTCCATGGTATTTGCAATGTTAACCGAACAGTCCGGCGCTGTGAGAGCTGTCTTCTAACCCAAGATATCCGAACATACCTGCTCACTCCACAGGTTCATTTGAACTCTCCGACAGTGTATCACTAGACTTGTCACAAGTCGACCTCTTCACGGAGCAGAACTTCGCCAACCACTATTCAGAGCACCTCCAATACAAACGTGATACACACAACTCAGTAGTGAGGCTAGACTGCAGTCAACTCCCTGTCAACCGGAACACCTCAGCGGCAAGGAGAAGGACCCCAGCCTTAATAACGATTGTTTATTCTAATTGTTTGTCCGTAAATAATTTCCTTTATTGTTTACCTTAAAAGGTCTCCGTAATGCTTCTATCCATCATCACCGCCGATAGGCTCATCTGTATCGTGTTCAGTTTTCGTGTGCAGCCCTTGTCCCTTAAAGCCTGTCACGTCATTTGCTTGGGTGCGTGGACACTGGGATTCGTCCTGTCCTTCTTGCCAATGTCAGGTCTAAGTTACTTCTATGATTCAGAGCACGGACATCGCTTCTATGGACGCTCTACAGTGTGTCTGGCTCTGCAGCTCTCAGATGACAGACCACCCGGCTGGGAATACTCAGTCAGCATATTCATTGGGTTGAATTTACTTGCCTTCCTGTTCATATCGCTCGCCTACTTGGCGATATTCTTGTCTGCGGTTAAATCGTCAAGTTCGATCAGATCAACGAATGTTAAACGACAATCAGCTCTCGCCAAGCGAGTCGCTTTCATCATTTTAACAGACTTCTGTTGCTGGATGCCTGTGATCGTTGTTGGCATCTTATCACTGACAGGAAGTTTCCATGATCCCGAGAAGCAGGTGTATGTGTGGATGGCAGTGTTCGTACTTCCGGTCAACTCATCTGTAAACCCCATACTGTATACAATCGCCACGCCTCAGGTGCAGGGATGGCTGTGCAAGGATTCCACTGCTGCCAAGGGTAGGTAAAGAACCAGATATCTACGTTTTTGTTAAAAAATAATTCTAACTTTGGGATTAAAGTTTCCTAAAAAAAAAAATGCTGAAATACCCCTTAGTAGTGATGGGAGAAGTATGGTCTCATTCAATTCTTCTATTTCTCATTTTTCCTCAAGGCTACCTGTGATATTTAATACTTTGTGCGTGCTTAAGGTAATTTTATCTAGGACAGTGATGATAGCATAATTTTCTTTTCAGTAAATGACTGCTAGTCTTCTGCCTAACAGAACGCGGCGATATCATCTGAAGTTTCCTTCAGCTTTGAGGAGCTTACCTTCAATAAGGATCATAAAAACATTTTCTTTTTGCCAGAGGGCGGGAAATAACAGAAATATTTATCCCATTGATACGACGAAATAAATGTATTTGACTCAATGCCTTTTGATCTATGAGTAATACTAAAACTTACTAACTCTAAGATGTAATTGATCATCTGCCACACAGTGCAGGGAACAAGACAGGCACGGTCTGCTGGTAAAA